ACAAGTGTAATGAAAATTTTAACTTTCCAATTTTAACTTTTCAAATTTTGATTTCTCTGCAGTTCGAATGGAATAAATTCACTTATAAAGAAGAAATTGAAATCCATGATAGAGTAACCACTAACTTTCAAATCGAAAAGAATGTAAGCCCTTAAACTATTCACTTTATCAATCTACTGATTAGGTTATCAAAATAACCTGAATAAGATTTCGACAGCACCGCGTTCTTTAGAATTCAAACCAGGATGATGGAAGCCAATGCCGCGTTCAAAAAGCTTAAATAATAATTTTGTAGTTTCCCGTCCTAGTCGATCCTTTGCCAATCTTGCAGTCACTTTCTGATACAAATCTGCATCACGCTGCCGCCCATGTAATTTGAACCTGAATGACCCGAAGAGCAAAATAAGTTCTAAATTTTAAAGTGATGCTGGTACTTCAATATTAGTACTATCAAAAACTATATCTTTTAAAACTCATAGAATGACATTTCGGAGATTCCCACTGAATCCGGCTTTAAATTGTCGCTTTTTTTTTTAATTTTGATGAGTAAGACGCCCTATGATTCCCTCTGTTATACACTAATCTTAAAACGGAATCACTGTTTTATGATACAGTTGAAGCTACATTGCCAATTATGCACCTCTTCCATATACAAGGTATATACAAGAATTTAACTTTATTGTACAAAGAATTCATCTATAGTGAGCATTATTAAATGTATAAAAATGCTTGTAGATGAAATAAAAAATTAAAGAAAAAACTTACTTTTCCAAAACCATATTCAAACGCAGTTTCATTGCCGCAAGCGGATCGTAATCATCAACATCTTGTACGTTATGTTCTTGTTCTTCTGCTTCAGCTCTCTCAAATTTATCTGCAGTTTTTGTTTTTTTTTCTCCTTTGTTGCTGCAGCATCCCGCTTCCTTTTCATTATTTTCAGTATTTTCTGAAATTTAAGTCTCTTGTCTTCAGATTGCTTTTATCCACAGCTCACAACTTTTAGTTTTTTATCCGAAATGTATGAAATGATGTTAGCGCGAGAGATTAATCATTTTACACATATATAAAATTTTACAAAGTCTTGCAACGTTCGTTCATATGCATACGCTTTGATAGTAGGCAAATATTTAAATTTGAAAATTTTACTTACCTCCTCATCTTTTATTTCATATTTTTTGTACTCTGGACTGGCTTCGAACTCCTTCTGCTGCATTTCGAGATAAGTGAACAACTGTTGAGCCAATCTTTCACACACCCGACGATCTTCATTAAAACAAATTGCCGGAAGCAATTCCTTGTTACGTAACTCCAAAATCAGTGGGGCAATGCTTTTCATTGCCACTGCTCGCTAGAAAAAATAATTGGAGAGAAGGAAAATGCAGGGACTATATTTTACTTGAATGCTATTCTTATTCTTTAATTCATTTTACCGAAGTGAATTTTGTTCTTAAAGTATAATTTTTCCGTCAAATTTGATATGGGACGGAAGATATTAATAATTTTCTCAAATATATGACAGTGCATGTCTTCCGTCAGCGATCATCAAGGTAGCTAGATCATTTCCCGCAGTGTTCCTCAGTAGGTACATTAATATAGGGCAATCGAGTGTACATATCTCAGAAGAAATAGGACACTGAACTGATCTAACAAAGTATCACTAATATAGACTTTCGAATTTTTCCAGTCAAACCTGATCAAATGGTTTACTCCTGAAGTTTAATTCATTTTCAACATTTCTACCAATTTGCTGCAAAACTTTATTAGCTATTTCTGGATTCATTTCAAGCCATTCCAAAAAACGATTCTTCAGAGCAACCTCCAGACGTCTAATGTCTTCACGTGTAAGCCAAACCTTTTCGCCTCCAGTTTTATAGTTGAAAAATGAACATGGTTCAAATTCTTCCCTGTAAGAAAGGTAAAGATGCACAGTTCGTTTACGGAGATTATATTTCATGTTTTTATAGCGCAAATTGTGAATTATGGATTTGAGAAAAAGAAAAAACTTACTTGACTACAGGATCCACTTCGGCAAGAGCATAATATAAATCAAGGATCTGTCTCGCAGTTAACTGCTGATCAGCAGGTATTCCAAACATCGATAACTTCACCGGTTTATACACACCATATGGCATAAAGTGCTCAACCATTGAGTTCACAACGTTTCCATCTTGAGCTATCGTATCAATCGCTGGATTAATCCGCTGCACGGCAAGTTCCAATTCCGAGTACCTTTCACCATATGTGATTAGTTCAACCTGAAATCACAAGCGCGGTTTGCACGAAATCCCGATGCATAACCATGGAGGTTGAGAAGAATATAGAAATAACGGTACTTAAAATGGTACTTAAAATACTTAAAACTTAAAATACTTAAACTACTTAAAATG